CTCGAGCTTACCGCGGCTGCGGGAGCTGCCAGGGGCGCGGTCGGGACAGTCGCAGGAGTCTCCTTCTCCTCCTGCTTCTGTTGTTTTTGTTCGGGCTCCTCATCTTCCTCCATCTGCTCCCAATCCTCCTCAGGGTCCTCAATATCCGCTTCGAGGTCGGCAGCCATACGGCAGTTTGGACAGACAAAGATGGGGTATTGGGGAGAATTCAGTAGAGACCGGATGCACTTGAAGTGCCAGGTATGCGAGCAAGGCGCCACGAACAAGCACTGGCACGGCTACAAGACAATTAGCTTGCTTGCCCGCAAGGAATGTGGGGATCCGTTCACACGGCGGCTACATACCGCGATAGAGTTGAGACAAATTGAGCAGTCCTGCGTCGAAGAATTCGCCGAGTTGGCTGCAGTCATGTTCCGCAAGCGCTTGTGCGTCGCCATGCTGCATGATGTAAGCGTAAGGACGGATACGGTGGAAATTGGTTCAACTTACTTGAACGTGTTCAACTTGTTCTGCCAGCCTCTGTTCAGCTCTAGCCTCATTTTGACGCAGCGGAAGATCATTTCCTCGCCGCCTTTGAAGTCTATGCCGAGCTGCACAATGTCTCCATCGTTGACGGGAAATGGCTTTGATTCCGTTCCCGGAGGGCTAAGTCGAATGTGGTTGAGGAAGGTGCCGGACGAGCTCTTGACATCCTTGATGTACCATTTGCCTTCGTCATACCAAAATTCGCAATGGCGGCGGCTGACAACTTTGCTCTTGAACCCAACGGGCGCGGCCGAAGGGGTGTTGTTGGGGATGCTAGGCTGGTTATCCCGCTCAGAGTAGCGGCCGACCCTGATGATGTCGCCGTTCGAGGGCAGCGTTCTCGAGACTGGAGGGAAGGTCAGGCTGGGACGTGTCGCGCGCGGGTCATAGTAGGCAGAAAATCGGATCGAAGGTAGATTTTCGGGCGCGGGGGTGGCTGCGACAGGGGCATCACCCGTGGTAGAGGCGCGTGCTCTCGTCATGTTCGCGGCTTCAGCGTCGTTGGTCGACTGCGGCTGCTGGTCAGATTGCTGCCGTATGTGGCTGCTGGTGCTGCCGCTGGCAATGACGTCGTCGAGAATAGAGGGGAGTGCATCCACTGGCGGGCGCTCGACGGCAGGCGAAGAGGGCGTGGTGGAAGCCCTGTTGGCGGAGGAAGTTGACGATGATGGTGACTCCTGTAGTGAGGCGACGAGCGACAGAGGGTTCAAATGGGCGTCTGTGTCGGAGCGACGAGGGGTTGAAGTAGGCGAATAGCTGAGAGAACGCTGCAGACCGGGGGTTGGGCGACTAGAACCTGAACGACTGCTGTGGTGGTTTTGATTTTGAGTTTGAGTTTGGGTCTGAGAGTGCGGGCTGGTGCCGGTGTTGTGGTGAAAGTGGGAGTGGGCGGCGACGTGAGAATGCGAGTTTGATGTTGGAGAGTTAGAGCCCTGGCTACTATGTTCTCGGGACAAAATATGATTTTGAGTGTAGCTGCGGAGATAACTGAGGCCTCTCAGGCGACTGGATCGTGTTGAGGGTGAAGCGGGATTGGTGACAGACGTCGGCACGGGGCCCACGGTCGGTGGCGATGCGACTGGTTGTGTAAACATTTGCGCCTCGAGGGGGGAGGGGGAGCCTGGGAGGATAGAAGAATGGGTTGGTGTTTGTTAGGCTGTACTGTTTTTGGCGGTGGGTGCAATAAGCAGTAGTGGCCGCCGCAGGGTTAGAATCCGTCTGGAAATCAGGCGGTAGTGTCGCAATGGTGCCGGCTCTCGACTCGTGGGTTTCGGCTGGCGGTCTGGCTGACTAGCTGGCTGAATCACTGGGCGTCGGCGGACTTGTCTGAGTGACCTATTTTGCTTGGTTTTTGTCTTTTGCCTGTCCCTTGGAGAACGGGATTGTGGACTGCCTTGTTGGGGGTGTCTCTCTTGGGGTGCAAATAGAGAGTGAGGGCGTCAAAGAAGCTATGGGAAGAATGTGGTGAAGGGGTGGAATAAGAGAAAGAGAGAGGGATGGGAGAGGGAGTGGAGGACGTCTAGACGGCTTGTGTTTGCTTGGAATGTCGCTGGATCCTGTCTGGAAAGCAATCTACGGTGCTCTCTTCTACTCCGTACTCTGTATTCCGAGTTCCTGTCTGTCAAGGCGTGATCCAGCGAGGCAAGGCGAGGTTGGACAGAGGGACCAAAGGGACGAAAATGACCAAGGAGGAATCGTCAAGACGGGAAGGTGATGGGAGGTAAGGTCCGAGGGTAAGAGATGAGAGAGATGAATGGTATTATGGACCAAGAAAAAGCAGATTACGCCCGAGATCAGAAAATGGACCTGGGGAAGACGGTTTTTTTAGTCTGGACGACAAGCGGCAAGGCCTTGGAAAGTTGGACCTGGGAGAAAGTCGCAAGTGAAGGATGCTTGAATGTCTGTGGTGCTCGGCTGGATTGGGGAAAGGGTCAGTATTTCGGCTTTGGAGCCAAGAAGGACGGGCGTCGACTTCTTCTTGTTGCTCGTCGTAATCGTCAGTGTCAGTCCCAGTTGGGTCAAGTGGCTAAAGGAAGAGCCCGGATAGCCAGATGGACTAGGCGCGAAAGCAGTGCGCCGCGGCCGTGGACGGTGAGGTTGGACGAAAGAAAGTGGCCAGGCCAAAGAAAAGGTACTTGTGGTGGTCCTTGATGGAAGTACCTGGGCAGGGCACGATGGGGGGGCGGGAGACACGAGACGACTAGCTTTAGGTGTATCCGTACGGAGTACTGTAGACTACAGATAGAGTGCTTCGTACAGAGGACCGTACCTTAGGTGGGACGCAAGCCAAAGAAGACAAGAATTGGTCTCGATGCTGGGCCTGGCGATGAAGCAAGGGCCTCAAGGACAGGGCAGCTGGGCAGTGGGAACTTGAACTGGTACGAAGTGCAATCGTCCAGGTCGGCTACTTGGACGTAAAGAGAACAAGTCGGGGTCCAGCCCAGTCGGTCAGCTTTTCGTTGGCGCGCGTGCCACTATTTTTTTTATTCTCTCTCCTTCCGACTGCCTCTGCTTGAAGGGTAAGGGGGGGCGATTATGGGGATAATGACGACGTCTGGGCTCTCTGGCAAGCAACAGCAACAGACACACGACCAGGGCGAGGGGGCCCGTATTAGGTAGTGTGGCAGTTACCGTGCGGTAGGGGTTGAGCCTTGAGATGTGCGTGTGTCCTCGTCTTTCTGGGCCGGGAAGGGCAGGGGACGTTGTTGTTGCGGCGTTGCCTTTGGTTTAGGGCCGGTCAGAAGACTGGCTAGAGGAGTGAGGGGACGTAAAGGCGAACCGGGGCCAGGGGTGCAATGGAAAGGATCCAACGCGCCTGGATATGCTTGCTGCAAGCGTGTGGGTTGGCCGGGATATCCAGTGGATGCGGACGGGTACGCAGTGGTGTAGGTACGCTATTATTCGTGCCTACGAATACAGATGGACGTCGGTGTGGCACACATGGAGTTGCTCATGGGAAGAAATGCCGTGACCGACGACGTCGATGATGTCTAATGATGATACAGCAATGAGGCCGCGTTGCTGCCACTTCCATGACCCCGTGTCTCTCTCCCGCCGGTTGAGTGTTCAAGTTGCAACAGATCGAAAAGCACATTGGCGCTGCTACCGGAGGGATGGGTGTCGAAAGAGCCGTCTCGGATTCTGCATGCGCCTGGAGGCGGGCAGTCAAGTCAATTCTTTGAAGCGGGAGATGCGCGACTGCCATGTACAGAATGGTTAGAAGAAGCAACGAGAACGGCGGAGCACAGACACATGGCAGGGTCATTTGGGTTGGGGGGTCTCAGTGTCAAGCCCAGCGGCAGCCAGCTCCGCGAAGCTGGATCAAAGCTGGATCAAAGTTCCGTCATCGGAGGGGAATACCTTCGGTAGCCGGAGAAGATAGACCGGATGCGTCGCCAGTACTGTGGAAGGTTGAGTATCAGTAAAGTGAGATGGATGTTGAGGCATTTGGAGTTGGGTGGGAAGCTTGAATGGAAGAGACGGAAAGAAGATTAACGAAGCGTCGGAGATACACCGGCCGCATTGGTGAAGGGCGGCGGAAAGATCTGGGAATCTGAGATGAAGTGGTGGAAAGTCCGCCCAAGTGCACCTGCCTTCACTTACCTTAGGTAGCACGAAACGCACTCGCACCTTCTTCATCCCAAGTTGCATTTTGGCTTTCTCCATCGTCAACCACCGGGACCACTCAAAGTTGGACAAGGCAGGTGCTCTGTCTCGCCTTCTTTCCGCGGAAGCACGGGGCTGCAACACGAGACGAGAGACACTTTGGCACTCAATGGAAGGTGCTATCCGTACACGCCATAGGTTAGGTACTAAAATGAGGAAGTCGGGTAGGTACCGGTGTGAAGGCAGGAAGGAGCACAGGAGGTGTCTGCATCTGCGAGATGGCCAATGCTTCAGATCGCGCGAAGTGAGGCAGGCACGATCATCTCAAAAGAGCATCGGCGACCAAAGTGCACGGGTTGGCACTGGCCAGGATGAATCACCATCTGCAATGCCTCTCCTAATTTTCTCTCTGCCTCGTTGCTGCTCATCAAGATCAGGGCATCTCACGATCTTTCCTCCGAGCTTGTCATCATCTATGGAGACCTCTATGCAAGGCAAACATAATGGCATTTATAATGCTAGATGATTACTCCGTAGGGTAATTACATGGTCAAAGAGTGAGCGAAAAAGGGGGTCGGCAACGTCCGAGCAGTTACTAAGACCACATTACGACACCTTCCCGCAATGCTCCATGAACATGATCCATCGTGACTTGTACCTGCCTTGGTCCAATGCGACGGCAACTCCCACCCATAGCCTACCAGCAACAGTGCTGTTAGACGTCTTTCCAAGTTTCTCCATCAAATGCAGACATCAGAGCAGACATCGGCAGAGAAAAGAACGCGCCATGTTATTTCCGGCCTTCCCGTCGCCTACCGTCATCTCTCCACCAAAAAAGAGGGAGTGAATACACCGTCTCCATCAACACCATGCCCTTCAACCTTGGAATAACGGCACAACAGGGCCACCACCAGCCTCCTGAACCGCGAACACTGGACATGACAAGGTCAGCTCACCTCTTCACCTTGCTCACACTCACATTCCTCACGGCCTAACCTACGGATATCTCCCCCATGGAAGATAGCTGCAGTCTTTGGATACCTCATAATCCACTTTGCCCACTTCTTTAAACCCCCGCCGCCCACGGCACCACTGCACCGCTGTCATGGACGGGAGTGATTTGACATGCAGCCGACCAGCATACCGCCGGCCCATTCGCTGGGTTTCTCTGCAGTCTGCACCTGCGTCCGCAGACTCTCGAGTGACCTCTCCACCAAGAGCGCCGCGTGAGTGGTTTGAAGCCCTATGGCCTCCCCCGTCGTCTTCAAGCTCCAGGTTTTCCATGGTTAGATACGCCGCACGCGAGAGACAATGGCGAACCATATTCTCAGGGGGCTGTTCACGCTAACGCAATCACCAGATTAGCGGCCTTCCACCTCCCTAGCTCCCTGAATAGACCCTTCGACCCTCCGTTGAGGGTTGCGTCCGAAGAGCCCAAGACCATCGACTTTGCCAAGGTTACCTTACCTAACCGAGAAGATCGAGGTACTTTGCTCGTTTTGCACTGCAAGTACCTCCTTCGCCCACGATCAAGGGCAGGGAACCTCAGGCCCACCGACTGGCACCGAGGCGTGTGACCGAGAACCCCCGCCACCTCCGTCCGTCACTCTCTTCTTCCCATGCCGTCCCTTCACTTGGATCGCTATCGTGATTGGGTCCAGGAAATCTCCCCCCGCCGGAAGTCCATGAGAAGGCTGGGAATCCCACCTCGCAGGCTCGACTCTGTGGCGCCTTCGTGCACAAGGATCCTACTGTTCCCAAGGCAAATCATACTACGTAAACTTCACGAAACCACGGCTCCCTGCCTGTCTTGATCGATGGTCGTTTCATCACAGACTTTCTCCAACATGGATGAAAGCTGAATGACGATGTGGGAGTTAAACCCGCCATGCTCAGGAATGCGGTCTCTCTGCTACTGACTCGTCCGGTCCGTCATCCGCCGTCCCGAGCCTCATCCGACTCACCACCAACACAACGCTTGCGACACTGCGAAAACAAAAGCAAACTCTGGGACATGTCCATTCCGTTCCGCCATACCTCTCGACACCAGATGTCAACTGTCTTGGCGGAACTAGAACCACAATTGAGAAATTTTCTAGAAGGCCGAGAGCTCATCAGAAACACGGATCCGAACCCGATACTGCCTGCTGAACCAACGAGCGAATTTTCGCTGGCCGCCTCGCTTTGCCTCGCCACCTCGAGTCGGCTTCCTCCTTGTCGTGAGGAGGCCTTGCCAAGACCATTCACTGGCGGCACACGCCTCAGCTCATGCACCCTCCGATTCTTCTCCGGCGCCGAGCCCGCTGTGGACCCTAATTCCGTCCGTCTTTGCCTACAGCTCGCTCTTTGTGGGAACCTACTCCCGGACGGCTGCTTGCAGCACTATGACTGTTTTGCAGTTTCCATTGTCTAATTGCCTTCGTCTCATCTTGGTCAAATGCAGGCTTAACGCACGCGGATCTAGATCCGCCTTTCCCGGCAACTCGGTCACAGTGATCAGCACTTGACATCGCTTGCTCAAGGAGACGCCACCCGCCAGTGACCGATTGCAATCAGCACGTCTTACGTCCCTGGGCAGACGTAGTGTACTAAGGTGGACCACTAACACCGCTGATAGCTCAAGGAGTCGGCCAAAGGTGACTCGGGGTTGTTTCTCCTTGCCCTCCATCATAAGTCACTAGGGCGTCACAGAACGAAACTCAGTATTCACTGTCAGCCACCCACTTGCATCCGTAGTAACCATCTCTGCGTAAAGACGAACCTGCTTCAACCGATTTTCGCTCCTACTTTGTCGCTCCCGAGCAGACATGTTCAGAAAAAACCTTTGGCGCATAGCAAGGCATATTGGACCGTCGTCGCCCCCATGCTCCTTCAATCCTCCGAGATGGTGCCCCCGCAAACCTAATACCTGATTCATGAAGACCTCCCGCCAGAGCCGCCCTAGGTTCAACCTGGAATCTTGCTCTCTGCATTGCTCCCTGGTGTCCCATCTGAGACCATGGTCCCTGGCTCGTCGCTTTGTTCCACATACGCACTCTCACTACCAAAAGGGGCGTTTGTTCCTGGACCATAATCCGATTGTTTGCCCTTCGACAAACTGGCATTCAAAAGCAAAAAGCATCAAACCTCATCAGCAGCGCTATCTTCGCTCACAAGAACCCGCCGTCGAACACTGGGGCCCGTGTCGGCGTGGCGGCGCGCCCGTCTCCCGTGGTTCGCCCACGTGTAGATCAATTTGTCACGCGACCTCTTCATGCCCTCTCTTCATTTCCTCTTGTAAAACCTGCCGGGCAAATTAGCCTTACTCAAGACTCCAGACTGTGTTAGACATCTGCCAAGCCAAGCTGTATCCGGAAGCAGCCGTCAAAGAACCGATGTAAGCCTGTCAGACAGCTAGACGATCCGGCACATCTAGCAGACCTAGGGCTTGGCATGGCCTGAGTTTTCCCTTTGGCATGATCGGTCGTGAAGACTTCGACAAAGCTAGAAACTACGTTACGCGCACGCACGTCCTGGACCTGGGGAAATCCTAGTTCCCGACCAGCTGGTGGGCAAGCTTACCCCGGATCGAAGACGGCGCCCATTCCCATTTGTACATCGCCTCAAACGTAACCCCTCAAGGAAGCGGCTCTTCCTCTTCGACAGCAGCCATAGAGCATCACCTTAATTCTGCTCAGATTACATATGGTATGGTAAGGAGGAAGATTAAAACACCGACAACAACCCCCTTTAACCTTGACCACCCCCCGCCCCTCCGTCTTCGTCTGATCTCATCATCATCTTCGTCCCTCGAATAAAGCGCCAAATGCTTCGCCTACCTCGCCTTCGCGAAAAAAAAACAATCGCCAGCCTCACTTCTTGAAAACCGCAGCCCCGAGCTTCTCAATCTCCCGCCCCTCCTGCGTTCCCCGTCCCGCCGCCTCAAGGAGCCTACCCCACGCCTCGGCGTCCTTGAGCTTCACCGCCTCCTCCGCAGCCTTGACCCGCATCCCGCACTTTTCGTACATGGTAATCGTCGTTCCCGGTTCCAGACCCGTGCACTTTGGCACAAAGACCGCCGCCAGCCGCGGGTTGCCCGCCTGCAGCGTGAGGTTGTAAAACGGCTGCGCTCGGAGGTTAGCTTATATCCTTTCCGTCGTCCGGTTTGCAGTAGAGTGTAATTCCGACGTGGTTCACGGAGAACAGCGGTACGCCGAACACACGGATTCCTTCACGGTTTTGTGACGGTATGTAGTAGATTGTTTGTGAAGAAAGCTTACCTCCCACCCGATCGGGCTTTTTCTCGTCTTTGCGAGCTCTTCAATCTCGTTCCAGTCTCGCTTTGCAACGAGGGCGCGTAGCCTATTGTAAAGAAGAAGGTAGGGGTTAGCAATCGTATAATGCCTCTGTCCGTCTTGGCGAGGGAATAGGGAGGGGTAGCCGAATAGACTGAAACCGTGGAAGAGCAAGGACATGGAGAAAGAAAGAAACCACTAACCTGAGCCACCAAGCAACCTTCTCCGGGACCTTGAACTCGCTCTGAATCTTTGTCGCGCGCTTGTGGTACCCGAGCCGAATAAGCTTAAACATGGTCTCGTTGACGCTGAGCCCCGTAAAGGTGTCAGTCAGATCGCGGTCAAACGCCTCCTGCATCTTGAGCAGCGTCTGCGCCTCCTTGAGAGCGTGCACCTCGAACGACGCCTCGCGGGAGTCGGAGAGCAGCTTGGCGGCGAGGGCGAGCTTGTCGGATGCCGTGCGGGCGTCGGCCTGGGCGAGGGACTCGCGGATGAAGACGCTCGCGCCGTCGACGCGGCGGTCGTCTTGGTAGTACAGGTCCTTGAGGAGTGCGTTGTCGCCCTCGCGCGCGGCCGAGGACTCGACGAGCGCGGTGGCCGCGGGGCGGGCGTTGATGACCCGGAAGAAGGCTGCCAGCGGGAGCTTCTTCTTGAGCTGGAGGAGGACGGTGTATATGAGGTCCGTGTCGCCGCTCTCGATTGCTTTATCGAGGGCGAGCTCGTCTTCTTCCATGCTGAGGAGGAGGGGTACCTGCCGGCCGCCGCGGGGCTCGTGATTGAGGAGCTCGGTGGCGAGGCGGCCTCGTCCTTCGTCGTAGGCTGCGCGGGCGATTTCTTCAAAGGAGATGCCTGGTTTGCCCGAGAGGCGCTCGACGACGAGGCGGCATATCGTGTCGTCGTCTTCGGTGCCGGAGCGGACTTTGGCGGAGGCCCAGTGGACGTAGATGCGGTCTGTGGGGAGGCGGAGGTAGCCCGCGATTTTGAGGGCGAGGAGGTACTCGTGTCGGTTGATGAGTCTCTTTATCAACCCTTCGGGAGTAAGGCGCTGGTACTGGTCGAAAGACAGGGGCAGGCCGACCTCAAAGAACCGTACGGCGTTGAGGACGCGAAGGATCTCGCACATGTCGACGAACTCGTCGCTGTTGTAGATGTCGAGGACGGACTTGCCAAAGGAGGCGGCTTTCAGGAGCTGCTTCTGCCAGTGGACGCTGAACTCGCGGCCGGCGGCGTTGACGCACGTGTCGACGGCCTCGGTGAGGTTGGCGCGGATGAGCTGGATGTAGTCATCTGCCTTGGGGGACTGGAGCTCCAGCTGGCCGACGGCGTCGAGAAGGATGGAGGCCGCTGACGACTCTGCGCGGGTGCCGAAGACGTCTTCTGTGGCGTGGGGGACGCGTTCGAGAAAGTCGCATACGTCGTTTGTAATGAGCCTTGCGCCATCGTTTTCTTGGTGTTGTTGTTAGATGATTTTGAAACTAGAAGTAGTTATTCAAGAGGTGAACTTACCAGAGATGACGTGAACCCGCCCATCGTAAAAGAATTCGGCCGTCGCGCTGTCAGGCCCGATAATGTGCACCTCATCCTCCCACGCAATCAGGGCATCGGAACCGCACCACTCCACATACTTTGGCGGAATCCTCGACTGCGAATCGTGCTCCACCAACCGCTCCTGGAAATCGCTCGATATAACATGCGCCTTCCCCGTCTTGGTATACAACACAATCAGCCTCCCATCAGGTGAGACGCTGATGTGGCTAAACGGTCCAATATCCAGGAAGCGATCCTCGCACTCAGCCGCGTCGGCAACATATACAGTCTCCCCGATACTCAGCAGCACCTCAACTGACCGCGAAAGCGTGTGATCAGGCGAGACCACAGCCCACGCGTGGATCTCGCCCTGGTCCTGCGGCGGCGCGGCGAGCAACTTGGGCCGCGGCTCCGCGTACGACGTGACGGAGACGAGCGCGTTGCCACCGAGCAGGGCAACCATACCCGTCTCGTAAAACCGGCACCCGACGACGCCGACCTCGTCCGCGCCGTTGCCGAGTGAGAACTGCGTGAACTCGCCTTGGAGATCATACACCCTCACCGTCCCGTCCGCCGTGACGACGAGCAGCTTCTCCTCGCCGCCCTGGACGCTCGCCCATCCGAGCCCCTTGATCGCGCCGGAGCCTTGGTCCCACGGGATCCTGCGGAGGAGTTTGCCGGCGTACGAGTAGATGTCGATGCCGGGCTTGGTGCTGTTTGATGAGCCGCCACCGGTTTTGCTGTTGCTCGGGGCGGCGCGAACGGCCTGGATCTTGGTGTCGTCCCGTAGGAGGGCGAGGGCGCCGCCGTAGGGGGCGCCGGCGACGATGTAGTTGTCGAGGTCGAGGTCTTGGTCGAATACTTCGGTGTAGAGCTGGACTTTACGGTACCATTTTTCGCCGACGTTCTCCCATCCTGCCGCGGGGTGGGATGCTTCCATCATGTCATCTTCCTCGGTCGCCTTGGGCCTGGTCCCTTTCACAATCCGCGGGTTGGACTTTGTCCTGCTTGATCACACGTCGTCTTGCGATTCGAAGCTCCTGGGAGATCTCCTAGATGAAGGTCGTGGATTTGTGGGTTTCCGGTTCTAACGTTTGGTTTGAGACCGAGGTATGAGATGAATGAGAGGTGAGGTTGAAGGTATGAGCTTCCCACCACCACCCAAGCTCTCAATGAGCTAGAGGTACCCCCAGCCCCAGGCACAGGTTGATGGAGCTTGCGCCACGAATCACAGGGGAGCAGCCTCAATTCACCGCTGGGACCGGCTAATCACCGGCTTCAGGGAGCTGCGTCATTTCTCCGGGGGCAGGACAGGCAGGCAACCCCACCAAAAGCTGCAGCGCGCCGATAAGACAAAGCCCAAGACCCCAGGCGTCCCAGGACAGGTGACGGACTGCGGACGACCATGCGCCGCGACCCGCGAAGGAGCTATTGCTGTCTGGAATGCAAAACGCATGCGCCATTCCGCCAACATAACCCAACCTCGAAAAGCACCTCTCACACAAAGCTGTTCCCAGCGTCTGTACCAAAATCGATGGAAAGTCATAGGCAGCTACTCACATAGATGTAACCCCCAACACGGCAAACCCAAGCTCTCCCCGCCTCCCCCACCAAAAACCGCCCATCATGGCCGACTGGCGCTCCGAATACCTAGCCTCCATCAGGGAGCAAGAGAAGAACAACCCTGTAAACCTCGAAATCGTACAACTCTGTAAGACCTCCCCTCCAGCTCCTCTGCTCAGATCCCCAAGACCAGCAAACTAAACCACCACTCCCTCCTCCATCAGGCTCCCAGCTTTCCGACCACGTAGCAGCCCTCGAAGCCGAGAACCAAGTCCTCAAATCCCAAACCGCGCCCGGAAAGAAGAACAAAGTCACCACCTCCGAGAAATCAAACAACATCCTACCCACCCCGACAACAGAAACGACAAACTCCCCCCCCTCCTCCTCCTCCGACCCGACCATCGCGCAGCTCCAGCTCCAACTCGCCGAAGCCCTCCGCTCAAACGGCACCCTCAAAGACCGCGCAAAGCAAGCCGAAGACGAAGCCCAGACCCTACGAACAAAACACAAAGACGACGCGAAGAAAGTCCGCAGCCTGACGGCGGAGAATACCGTCCTGACGACGAAACTACGAGATCGGGAACACGAGCTGCGGGAGAAGCGTAAGCTGGTCGAGGTATACACATCATAAGAGAGGCTTGACAAAAGGTGCCCAAGACACAGAGGGGAGAATGCTGACTCGCGCGTGTGTCCGCAGAACGTACAAGACGAGATGATCGCGATGAACCTGCAAGTGACCATGGCCGAGAAGGAACGGGACAGGGTTAAGACGGAGAATAAGGAGCTCGTCGATCGGTGGATGAAGAGGATGGCCCAGGAGGCCGATGCTATGAACCTCGCAAACGAGCGCTGATTATGCGGTCTATTTCGTGTATAACCTCCCTCAACCCACACACGCCATGCTCCTCTCTCTCTCTTTGTCTCTCGCTGGCTGTCTGCCCGGCTGACATGCTCTATGGGGAGTTGTAAGAATTTCTACAGGTAAATGAACTCAACGCTATTTCCTCTCCTATGCCAGTATTCCTTTCTTTCCTTTTTTCTTTCTTTTTCACCCATCATTCTTTGTTTTCCATGCTCAATGTACAACACACATTGCAGCCATGCTCTCTAGCGAGTGCTGCATGCATCATCAGCACAAGTCCCGTAGGACATCATGCAGTGTAACGACAGACGCAGATGCTGAAGGGACGAATAGCCGCCTACTTCCTTGTCGATATGCAATAGTTACCGCCAGCGTTGGTCCAGCTGACATAGTTACCACCAGGGTCACCTTCAGGATAGGTCAGGTGCTCGACCTCCAAGATGTTGCTCGCAATGTCGTTGGCGTTGCGCGTCCCCTGGTCGTTGACGAACGACTTGAGCGACACAATCTTGCAGCCTGACTTGAGATCGAGGAACATGTTGACCAGCTCGGCGTTGAGCTGCGGTGTGAAGGCTTGGTTGTTGACGAGGACGACGTCGGCACGCTTCATGGCTTCGTGGATGCGGGTGCACTTTGTAAAGTCGCCTCGCTCGAGGTTGACTCGGCCGGGCAGCAGGCCCCACATCTTGCACCGGGCACCAAACTCCTTCTCTTGCGCTTCCGCAAAGTCGCACGGGTTCTCCATCATTTCGCAGCCCCAGCTCTCACAGCCGATCTCGAGCGCGGCCTGGAACACGACGTTGCCTACGCCGGAGCCGAGATCGACAAAGACTTGGTCTGACGTCATCCGGGTTTTTTCCTGTAAGATATCGGAGATGAGCCGATACGCTAGCTCGCCATAGACATTGTCGGTGCCGTTTTTGTACTGTTTCAACTTTTCCACGTCTGGTGATACTGTGCGGTCGTACACCTGGGTGAGGATGAACTCGACCAAACCCCTGGGCAAGCCGTGTATCTTGTCCAAATTCTTGCGTATTGTGCCGTCCGCCGCAAGAGTGCGAATTCTCTTATTCGCGTCGTTGAGTGCCGACACGAAACCGTGGAAGTCGTTTGTGTTTGATGCTTTCCTGAGCCGCCGTAGAAACCCGTTTTGCTGCTCTGTGAACTCTTCGGCCTGCTCTTCGGTGAGGTATACGTTGGCGACAAAACCGACCACCGTCTTGATATCCTCGATTGCGTTGATGATGCCCTTGTCGTTAATGAGTTCGTACCTAGGGAGAGGGTTAGCGATGCCGTACCACAGTCGCAGACTAGATATAGAAACCTACTCTTCCGCACCGTAATTGCTCGGATATTGCAGTCGCACTCTGACGTTGTCATCTGCAGTCGCACCGAGCGAGCGCGTGGCCTTGGGACACTTCTTGAGGTTGGAAATTTGCGCGGCGTGGATCAGCCGGCTGAGGGGCTTCGCATTGTCCTTGAATGCGCTCGACCGGGTCAACACGCGCTGGGTATCTACAAATTGCCCATCTTGCGTGCGCTGCCGCTTGCTAGGCTCATGCTTGAGGAACTCTTCGTAGTTGTCGTCGCCGTCAGAGTCGTTATCGAATTTGGGCTGCGACGGCCCCGCGCTGCCGACCTTGCGCTTGCGCTCGCCGCCGCCGCTGCGCTTCTCGTCCGAGGAAGAGGAAGGGTATGGCGAGGCGCTCTGCTTGCGTGAGAGGAGGGACTTGGCGTTTGGCTTTGGCGATGCGCGCGGGGAGGCTTTGGCGGAGGATGTGGAGGATGTCGCGTGGGCGAGCTTCGGGCGCGGCTTCGGGGCGGCGACTTGGACTTTTTCGACGCGGATTGCTGCCGGCTTGGTGTTGAACTTATTCTTCCCGCCGAGGATCGGCATGGTGGGCGACTGGCGACGACCGTAAGAGGTCGGGTTGAGGTGGTGGGAGGATGAGGAAGAGGTAAGGCGCTGCGCGCGTGACTCGTCAATCGTTGAGGTTCTCTATAGCTTCGGTGGGCTTCCGCGGGTCAGGGCGGGGCGGGTGTCCGTGGGCATGAATGAACGGGATTTATTGATAGAAAATCAATATGGGTATAGCGAATGGTGGAAGAATGAGTGTGTCGTCAGCAAGACTTTTCGCTTCGTGACATGCGTTGTCTCAGTTGCACGACGGAAAGACGTGGTCGTCGGAGGGAGGGGTGGAGGGTCGGGAGAACGGAGGGAGAAGAAGTGAGGTTTGGGGTGAGACGAGACGGGACACGAGGCGATTTTTCGGAAGAGGACGTGGGAATGGGGCCGGGACGTGACTGGGAAAAAAATGGAGTGGGCCTTTCCTGCCTGCCTGACCCAGGACCCCGAAAGTTGAAATTCCCCGGCCCAAGAGGGGCGGAATGAACGGGCAGGAAACAACTTCAGCATCCGGGCAGCCCACCGAGGATTATGATGACTAAGGTAGGTGCCTTCAGGTAGGGTGAAGTACCAGTTTACTGGGAAGTGCCCAGATGGCAAGTCAAGTGAGGTGTGCGCAGGCAACCCAGAGTCAGGCCAGCACGTGAGGCCGGTAGGTGCAGGCGAACTACTGTAGATTGTTCAACTCGGTGTTCCCATACCCAGTTGATGAAGCACCCTTTCTCTCTGTGCAGACGTAAGGTGCACTTTATCTCAGGCTTGGGCGGCACAGCGCATCCAGCTCGCCTCGATGCAGCCTCGAAGCATGTCGTCGCAAGAGGGAACGAGAGGTGCAGCCAAACTCCCCAGAATGCGCAGGTGCTCCATTTCGCCCTGCACCTTCCTCCGCGCCGAACAGCTGGTTACGTTTGGTAGGTACGTAGAACCCCACTTTCAAGAACCCACTGCGGATGCCGCGCCAGCCGACCTCGACTTGCAGGACCAATCCAACTGGACGAGTGTGATTGGTTGCTTGTCGGGGGAACACTTCCCGGCCGCTACGCGGTACTGTACTTCCCCAAAGCCCCCGAAGCTTCCAATGTTTCCAGCAGGTCACAGCGTGGCTGTCATCCAGTGTCACATTTTCTCCAGGTTCTTTGCTGTCGTCTTCCGCTTTGGGAAAGCCGTTGGTGCATCGCCAAAGTCTCACGTTTAAGCTTGTCTCAAAGTGACATCCATCAAGCAAGGAGTATGCGTGAGCATCATTGACGTCATCAGTCATTGAGCATTGAGCCACCCGCCTTCGTTCATCACTACCGGTACCTTGCTCAGGCATGGCAATGTGTGCGACATTGCTACCACAGATACGTATGTCTGTTTGCCGGTATGAATAAAGAAGTACAATGCATGATGGACTACAGAAACAATACTTAGAAACTGCTGCACGAGTCCTGATCGCTGTTTGAAAGAGAACAATAGTACACTGCTATGCCAGAAACAGATCCGAGTGCCTTCCCTCTTCATCAGCCTTCATGGTCGCGTTTTCAAAAGAATGAGGGAATGTAGCGCAAGCCAGGTATGTGTACAAGAGGATTACTAGAAACTTATAAATGTGAACAGTGAAACGAATGAAGATACATGAGAGACCTATGGTCCTCAGAGAGAAAGTATGTGACGCAACTATTCACATCAACAGGAAACAATACAGACAACCCGTCAGACGCCATCAAACATGGGCTATTCAACCTCCATCAACTTCCAATGCCAAACGACATACCGCGGATGAAAGTGAGGAAACTCCACAGCCTCCCCCCACGTATGCTCCGTCTCGAACTTTACCTCGCGATGCTCCTCGCACCGGAAAGCAGCATCAAAAACGCCCACATCCGACGGGTCCTGCGGGTGATTCGGGAGAGACGTATCGTCTGCGTGCATCAACTCCACGACGACGCTCGTCCGCGCCATCAACCTCTCAAACACATCCTTGACGTGCGAAAAGGCAAAGTGCGTCGTCGGTTTGCCCCAGAGGACCCTGAACCAGAGTGAGTGCCGCCCGTGGTGTCCCGCCGCGTGCTGAACGATGTCGTAGAGCTCTCCCATTCGCACACCGGTGCATGGTGCTTGTTCTGATCCTGCCGCATTGGAGGGAGATGCTGAGGGGGGCACCGGCTGCTGGATCAGGGAACCCGCGACCTTTTGCTCTTCCAGCGCGAGACTGCAGACGTCGAAGCGCATGTATCCCAACGACGACGGCGGCGGCTGCGAGACGAGCATGCGGCGCCAACTTGCGCCGCGGCGCGTGAACCGCCTCCTAGCTTCGTCTTGATATCGTGCTGCTTCTTCGTCGAGCTCGGCCGGCTTGACCTGGCTCCAGCCGCCCCAGTATTCTTGGACCGTCTGGATCGGTTCCGGGATTTTGGACCAGGGGAGCTCGTAGAAGGAGTTGGCCCGGCGCTGGCACGAGTACGTCGGTCCAAAGTCGAAGAAGCATTTGTCAAATTTCTCTGCTAGGAGGGGGTTGATTAAGCGGTCACCGGTCGTGTGGGATGGCATGGCGCCTTGCTCCGGTATGCTCGGGAACACACCGTCCTCGAGGCCGTGAATCACAGCCCGTGAGATATCCATAGGGACTGGCTTGAAGAACAACGCCTGCTGGACGGCTGGTGATCCATCCATGAAGGCCTTCCATGTCCTGCTCACCCGCGACGCTGAGACCAGCAGCGTCCTCATGTCGACTTGCACTAATATGGACTCCAGGAGCTCTGGGATGGCGAGGACCGTCTCCACGGCGCGGAGGGACGGTTGCTTTTCTGACATGGTGGCTTCCCTTTCTTCTTTTCTCTTTCTTCACAAAAACTCGGGATGAACTGGTGAAGAAATGCACGCTAGACGAGTATGAAGAAGATGAGGAGAACACCCGCGCTTGGCTAACTTGCCGGCTCGCGCGGGGTTGTCGCTCTCGAGCCTCCCCTCGTCGCCGCGGGTAAGAAGAACCGTGTAAATCGATTGGAGATGATGACTAAGCCTTATCGACTACATATGATGATGCATGTGATGCTGCGTTGGAGTACGTTAGTCTTGGGACTAACCCATCTCACCAAGCTAGCGTACCACTCAGACGGAAATATTCTTTGTTGTTCTTGAGGCAATCTCGATTCATGAACATTAGGCGAGTCAAGATAAGCCTGCGCGCAAAAGGGCCATGTTATCCGTTTGACACATCTAAATAAGTACCGAAAAATACGAAATCACAATACCTCGGACTTGTCTTTCACCACAAAAGTCGGAAGCTTGATGACCAGGACGGATTGAAATGGCGACGAACATGGTTGAATGCCACATCTCGCCGTGGGGGTTACATCATGGCTACAAAACATAGTATGAGGATGCATAATGTCTTCAAGGAGGAGGCATTTCTGTGGCAGGTAATTCCATATTCCATTGATGACTGAGTTGAACTTCCTCCTCCTTTAAGACTACCAGAGATGATACAGTACTCGACTTTTTACATAACTTTGCCAGCTTCCATCCCAGATCACAGCCTTGCTAGGCCCTTCGATTCCTAACAGGTGCTCCACTACTCCTACCTGGGTCGCTGTATTGCGAGTGACTTTGAGTGAAACCTCGCCCCTCCAGCCTCGAGCCCCAAGATTCACGTTTCTATCGTCAAATTGAAAGGCGAAAAACGCTGTGAATATCGTAGGAGTACTTAAATGTGCGTTTCTTCTTATTCTTCCCCCGGACCTATGAGCGAATTCTGAGGCTGCCTAGATTATTTAAGACAGTGCTGTCGACTATTTAGCTGTGCCCGACAAGTTATTAAGCCATGCAATCCTTGAATCATCCTCTTTGCTCCACATTCCCCCGCACCCATGGCTCACATCTGCATTCTGTCATGCCAGTTGAACACCAGACTGATTTGTATTCATCATCCCAAAAGGGCTCAGCTGTTGACGCCGCGGAAAGGGGTGCTGGATGAGATTACTGAGAAAAAGTCGTACTTTTCCAAGCGTTCTTGGTCCCAAAACACGTATGCCCGCTCCCTGAGGCCTTCCAATCCGATTTCCATCACATGATGAGGCGCGATACAGTCTAGCGCCTTTCGAGGTCCTTCCTCACCGTCGATATCCGATAAGTTCAGCTCTTGCCATGATGCATCCAGCTTGGTGTTATGCCGAGCCTCGCTCTTATGAACATGATGCAGCAGCCGGAGTTCCAGGTACAAATAAGATAGGAACGTACGTGGTTCGCTGTGTAGGAGATCACTCTTCTCAACGTATGACTTCTTTTCGAGACTTCGAAGGTATACCAAGCCTCTGCAAAGCTATTCAAGCATCAGTAGAGCATAAGAAACAAGGGGTAACCAAAGCAAGGTGCGTAGACTCTCACCCATTGACCTGATTGACAGTCAGCTTTGGAACAAGCAATGTATATAATTCAGGCTTGCCTGTGTTGATGTACCGATGCTCGACAACGTCGTTGGCTAAAGCTCTTGCTGCAGCTGCCACGAATCGATCGCTCAGATACTCCATCGCTGCACCTAGCTGCTCGACCTCCCAGAGTGCAAGATCAGCCAGCATGCATGCCTCAAGGTTCAATCGGCCTCTGTTCTTGAACTGAACTCCTGACTCTAATGACACATCCCCTTGAGTCATATGGACATTCCTAGCTTCGTCAGAACCGTACATGGTGAAGAGGCCATGACAAAGCTCCACTCGATAAAAGCACCGGCAGAAGCGGAGCCACTCTTTCTGGGATAGATCCAGGTGACTCGGCATCGACTTCGTGGACGTCGTGTCGTTCAATGTGTCCGATACGGCGGTCCAGGCTTTTTCGGCAAAATGGGATGCGAATTCGGCAATGAGCTCGTGGGCTGCTTCCATAGCCAACAGGTGAGGAAGCGAGAATGTCTGGAAACATCTTGTCGATGCAACAGCGCCTCCAAACGTGGAGCTGAAGACCAACGTATCTGCATCCTCAGGTGTCAAGTTGAGGGCATTGAACGTAAGTGCAAATTTACGAGCTCGCGGTGCATAGATCAATGCGACTGCATATGGTAGCAGCTGCGTGGGTATCTGTTTCCGAACGATTTGCTGGGCGAGACGAGGCCGTTGGGTGTATGCATTGTAGAACAACCGACAAGACAGCAGAGGAGCTTTAAGGTCCTGTATCTTGTCGAGCTGGCTAAGAATTTCCGCGACAATCTCGCATGGTAAGTTGGTAATCTTCATGATATACGCAGCGTGGTTCCGAATGTCAACTTATGCCGTATGATTGCTGGTACGAGACCGTTGACGAGGGCGAAAACCACTAGGCGTGTGAGGGAGTGGCAAAGCTTGAAGGTTTGCCTCACGCGGCGAAGGCCAGAAGGGCGTGAGAAAGTTCGATCTTTTCGTTGGGAAGGAGTAAAAGGAGTGATTGGCCAAGGGGTGAAAGTCGCCAAGCGGCAGGATAGGTAACATCTTGAGGTACCTTACCTACCTAGATAAGGTACCTACCTTAAGTAGCTAAGTAAGGAAGGCGAGAGGTACAATTCGTAGTTGTCAGGGAAGCTAGCTAGGTACCTTAGCTAGGTACCTTACCTAAGGTATCTCTCTTCTCAAATTGTCTTAGGTAGGTGCGTGAAGGTTCAGCTCTTATGAGGAAGGAACTGAGAGGGAACCTACTAAGAAGGTGAAGTTGGAGCGGACACTGTCACACACCCAAAACTCTGAATACCTTAGGAGGACCGGAAGCGGCTGATCGACCCTGATTACTCATGCTCTTTTCCAGGCCCGCGATGCATTCCGTAAATCTGGTAGTCCCGCAGCCTGACATTGAAGAAGGCCTTCATTCCAAGTCGCCCTCATCAGAATGGAAGGCCCACTCGTAAGCTGTCACCGGAAGTCAGAACCAGAAAGTGGCAACCGTTGAATGCTGGACAAAAACTTGAGAACCCTCAATCACTCACGAAGCAGAGTCGGAAAACTTGGTTGACAGTACAAAGAAGTAAGAACAGATTCAAAACGAGCCGCGAGAAGAAGATATCAACTCACGATAGAAAACTCTAGGAACCCGCACACGCGCAGGAGTCCTTCACAGAACTCGTTTTTGTTCATCACACTCGACTACCAACTGAGGCGCCATTGAGATTTCCCCTGTCTCGGGCCTGTCTCGGGGCTGCTAGTCTTCTGAAGGAGAACTGTCAGACGTACCTTAATGAAAGAGAGAATGTTGTTGACTCCAGGGGAGTAGACGGTGGAGCCGAGACCCGCACCCGCACCCGCACCCGCCCCGGCTCCGGGTCTCCGCGGGTATGCGGACCGACCCCAGAAAGTGGACCCAACGGCGCATCGGGTGAGGCGCTCTGCAGGTTACGTGATCCACATCACAGTCGTGTTACTTTCCCATTCCTCCCGAGGCTCCATTTCTTTTTTCTCGCTTCGGATCGCTGGCAACTTCCCCTGAGCTTTAAATGAAGGATCGGACGAACGACTGAAGAAAAGTAGTGCGGAATTGTGACGTGCTGACGCTTCCAAACCCAACTTGAGATCTTCTCTAAAGACCTGCAACGATTTCAAGCTCCGCAATTGGTTGTTACCACTCTGGGTAATCGATAGTTTTTTAGCACGAGGGAAATCTCAGTCGCGTCAAAATCACGCGCTTTTCTTACTCCGCCAGCAGAGCCAACGTAGCTTCCAGCAGTAGGATCGACAATCCGCGAGGAAAGGTGTCGCCGAAATGAGTCACAAGCATCAGACCCTCCGCTTCGCGAGCGACGCAACGGCGGGCGATGGTATCTGGGGCTATCCAACAAGCAAGGCAAAGTGAGCAAGGCTCCAAGATACCGAGTCGTCGTGATCACATGCTGACGTAGCACGTCTTTTCAGCTTCTGCGAAGAAGACTACATCTTTACGCGCTACATCGCAGAGTTCATCAATTGTTTATCTAATGCCACGTACAGTAAGCGACAGCCCTGCCACATCCATCCCTGTGCTCATCATGCTGAACCCTCCAACAGTCTACCTCGCCCTGAAGTACCCCAGGGCCAACTCCAAGGCCGCGGTGCCATGGTACCGAACCCTCGACATCCAATCCATCGGCCTCCTCGCTGTCGGTATCTTCTCTGGCGTTTTCCACGGCACCATGCACCAGGAGACGCAGCTCCTCGATGACCTCTCTATGCTGGTCCTCGCCGGCTCGCTCGTACAGCCCCTGTACGCCTTCCGCCAGTCGCGCGCCGTGGGGGCCGCGATCACCACCATCCTCTGGCTCGGCATCGCCACCATGGCCGTCATCTACGTCCGCTCGGGAGACATCGCCATCCACGTCGCGACCTTTACCGGGCTGTTGACATTTGTCTGGCCGCGCACGCTGTTCATCGTCTACTGGACTGGTCGTTACTCGAAAGAGCAGCAGAAGAGACTGATGAAACAGTTCTGGAAGGCTTGTATCATTTTGATCGTGGGGTTCACGTTGTGGCATATCGACTTGGAGTACTGCGCTGAGCTGAGAGCCGCAAGGAAGAGCCTTGGATTGCCTGCCGCGTGGCTGCTGGAACTACATGGATGGTGGCACATCTTCACCGCTCTGGGCGCGAGCTGGTACATGAGGTTGATTCGGGAGCTGACCTCAGTCGAACAGGCTGAGACCGGGAAGAAGGCGCAGTAAATACTAGCGTGGCGAACTTCCTGCATCACTTCCTTCGACCCCAGCACCAATCCTCCATCATGCAATGCGGCTTGTTACGCCCGTGGGTGGAAGCATCCCCCAATCAGCCTGGAAAGGTGTCAATATTGATAGACATCATACAGAACTTAGCGTGTAGAGGGCAGCGTTTGAAAGTCAGGACATCAGTCTATTGGAATCAAACAAAAGATAATTCTTCTCAACCCAGAGCATGACTGCTAAAGGATCTAAAACATCTAGCTCTTGCATTCCTCCCTGAAAACACACTGGAAGCCATCCGCTGCGCAACAAAAGTTGGGTGGTTTGCACACTCCCTTGTTTCCTTGTGCGTCATCGCAAGCGACTTTTGAGGAGCAACATGTCAGCACAGCAACGGTCCGTCCAAGTCCATGGTAACGCAAGGTGTGGCTTCAACTTACACGTGAGGGAGAGAAGTCCCGCTAGAATGACAAGTGCGCTTTGTTTGAACTGCATTGTGGCTGATGGAGAAAATGGTGTAAAGACTTGCTATAGTAGAGAGTTTAGTTATTTGACACTGGTGGTTGTACTTCCAAAATCAAGTCCCAGATGAATGAGTCCATGCTTTTATACTGTCACAAAGGCCAGCAATTCGAAATTTGCAGGACCAAGCCGAGTTTACCGAAGTTATCGTCTTGTCGGTATCGCCGGCGTACGCGTATAAGGACGAAGCCAAAGTCCCACACAATGCGACTCGCCTAGATGAAAGCTCGCCAGGACGGTGGAGCTGAGTTTCAAGGCACAAGCGAGTATGAACTGCAAACTAATCGATAGCATGTTCTTCCTATTCATAAGAACCGCCAGACTCCGCGTTTCAGCCCCCAGTAAGGCTGATGTACCAAGTGGCTGGGTTCGATCAGCTGAGTCCCGTGAGCGCGCAGGTTTTCATGCAGCAGTGTCAGAAAGGCCGGGGTCCCTGACTCTTTGCACCAAAGCATTAGACATTGACAGCCGCCCCCGATAGTAACAATACAGTAAAGTCGTGCTGTCAATGAGGTTGATGACATCACTGCATAACGTGGTCATGCTCCTGGTTAAGCTCTAAACACAAAATGGTGGGAAAACTCACGGATATTCGATTGAGCATATCTAATCGAAAGTCAGGTATGGACCGTTGACCCATCGTAGGTCCACGGTCAGCAATAAGGTTTGGCTTCGCGTGCGGTAAAAGTGCTGTCGCAGCTGACAAAGACGGCGAGATAAGTTTCAGATATCTCCGCGTATAGGGCTGATCCAGAACCATATGGCTTCTCGAACGGTAGTGGTAAACTCTATTCTATTCTTGGACTTGCCCAAGATCCTGGGAACACACCAGATACTAGGATGAGCTCTATACTAGTTACATGACAACTGAGAGAGACCTGCAATGCCGACAGACCTGTTACCCTCATAGGACTCGTTGTGGAGTCAAGGAAACCGATCGATGTGACGCGGAGTATTCTTTTCTGCACTGTATATTGCGTACTTTGAGTATCACTCGGTGGGTAATGTTACATGTCAACACGATCGATGCAATCTATGCAAGGATCATACCGTCTTTTGCAGATACCTATGCCTACATTATTCACCATGATGTCGACCCTGCACCATGCATTCTGCTCGCAGCGTCTGTATGTATTGTCGCCGAAAGCGTTTTGTCTACCGGTCTATGGATGGCCTTTGTCTCGAGCTCCAGTGTTTCTCGTGAGAGACCTATCTATTTAACCCCGAAACCCCAATTGTCAAAAAATGTCCCCTAGCCTTAGGGTTGAAAGAAGTCTTGTAGCCATGAAATGTTTCGCTATCGCCTCAGCAACTACGATCCTCGTCGTGGCTAATTTGCCTTCGTTCAGGTGTCACGGGTGCCCCAGGCCTCGGTGCTCAGAGTGAGCCAAGCGTAGACGTCGAGAATGGGATGAGCGTTGTCCAGGAGGAAGCAGGCCCACATCTGGCGAGAAGTGAAGGGGAAGCGACGCGCAAAGGCGTTGTAGGTGCGGAACCAGCCCCAGATGTAGTAGCCCGCAACGAAGTAGCTGTCAGAGACAAGGTCAGTCATAGTCTATCAGAATAGGTCAGAGGGAGAAGAACCTACGCAATGGGAGACTTCTTGGCAAGGCACATCAAGAAGGCGATGATATGAACCCAGGCGATGACAGGGCGAAGAAGACGCTCAATGATCTTGCGAGCCATGTAGGGGTGCTTCCTATTTGATTGTTAGCTTTTTGAAGCCTCATCTCGAAGAGAGCATGGGAAGGAAGTCAAGGTAGCGTCAACTTACTGCTTGATCTTGCGGATGCCAGGCTGGTAGATCACAGTCGTGAGGAAGGACTGGATGGCGTTGCGCTGCCAGCGGATCATCTGGTACAGCAGACCGGAGTCACGCATAACGAGGGTGGTAATCTCAGCCTGGGGGGCATTCTGAACAGCAATGTCCCAGCCCTCGGTCTGGAGCCAGCGAGTGAGGAAGACATCGTCGCCAGTGTTCATTAGCTGACCATTCCATCTATCATTGGTGATGGCCTCCATGAAGCGAGGGTCCTGGGCAATATCGGTGCGGACCATCATGGTGCGACCGACCATGCACCAGCAGCCGCCATCAGCAGCGGAGCGAACGGCCTGGATATTGTTCTGGTTGTCGAGAGAGCGGAGGGAGGCAACCTCCCAGGGAGTGATGACAGCCGGGTTGCGGCGGTCAGAGCTGATGAGAGCGCTGTGAAAGTCAGCACAACGCCGCGAGAAGAATTAACTCTTTCAAAGGAAAGAACAGAGGGAAAGACAAGAGTTTCACATAATTACCTCTGCTTGCCAGTGACACCGCCAACCTTGGGGTCCTCAAAACCAGCCAAGAGGTAGGGCAGCGTCTCCAGAGTGCCCCAGAAGGCATCATCGTCGACGAGGGCAAGAATCTTGCCCTGGGCCTCCTTGATGCCAACGACCATCTGATAACGCTTGCTGGCGTACTCGGCAGTCATAACGCTGATGCGATCATCGCCCTCAATGATGACGGGCTTGACCAAGTCATGGACGCGCTGGAGGTCACGGTCAATGGTGACAATAATGATCTCCTTGGGCTTGTTGGCAAGCCACAGACGAAGGCAGTCGGTGAACGTGTCGGGAGTATTGATAGTAGCGACGATGATGCTGACATCAGTGGTCTTGAAGCTGGGCTCCTGGGGAAGGGGAATGGGCTTGGCCTTCTGCATGAGCTTCTTGGTCAGAACCTCATCGTAGGCATACCAGGCCCTGTGGAAAAACAAGTCAGCCTGTCATTCTAATTTTCAATGTGAACGAGAGAGAAAGGAAAGACTTACCACCACCAAGAATGTATTCAGACATTCCGAGTATCTTGGTTGCGTGTTGCTTGGTGTGTGAAAGGGTTTGTGTGATTAAAGAAGAAATAGCGCAGGTAGGAGTTCCTTTGTCGCGAAGGACTGGGTTGATTGTTTGTGAGAGGAAGAGAGTTCCTGAGAGGGAAGTGAGAGGAAGGATTTTATCGAGGGAAGAAGGCCGTCAAAAGGAAGGCGCGCGTGAATATTCACTGGATTGACAGATGAATAAGATGAGTGGGTGGTGATCCACTTCAAAGAGGCTGAAGGTGAAGTTTGAGGGTGAAGTTCAGATTGTTGTCCCAATTTTGGAAGGTGCCAGCCTTCACCTTTGGAAGGAGCGAGACGGTAGGCCAGATCAAAGGCAGTCTGACTGTTTCTTCTGGTGAAAAGAGCTTCGAGGGCTCGAAGTCCCTAGGTGACTGCTGTTGTTTGGTGTGGATTGCCTGATCGATTATGTAGGGAATGGCAAGTCGAGTGTTATTGAAGTATGTGACACTTGTATGATGAGATTGTGATTTTGAGATCGACTGAGTACTCAACACAACATTCTACTAATGGTACCTTGGGTATTTTATCATGACAAATCGTTGTGTCTGAGAGACCAGTAAACACAGACAAGGCAAACGAGATGAACAAGACCAAACATCATTTCCTTTGCTGCTCAATTTCATCATAATGAACTTCAAGTCTTGCAAAGCAATTTTTTTCAACCTACAGAGCTGATTGGCAATGTCAAGTCCTTTGGGACTGACGCGACATAGAGCCTTGTTGATGATGAATGGAATACTTATTCATACGCTCAAAGCTGTTTCGTTGTATTTCCAGTACACAGACCAATATCCACCCGCAACCTGTAAACATGAAAGCCATTTTTTTGGTAGGCTATGTCCTCAATTATGCCTTCCTCAAGCGACCCCCATGCGAAAGGCCTGAGCCACAAGCGCCGCTTGCTCATCTCTCACCAACTCCCTCTGACGACGACGAACCCTCCTCCACTTCCATACGACAGCGGCTACAATAGGGATGAGAAAGACACCAAAGACCTTGAGTCCATTCTCATTCATGTGGCGGCGACTCTCATGAAGCTCAGCCTCCTGCAGACCAAAAACGCCGCTCACCCATTTGCAAACGGTCTTGTCTCTCAGCTGCTGCGGAATGGCGAACATCTCGAACTCTTCCGCAGGATACACTGGGAGAAGTATCTGCATGAGCTGAATGAGGACTAGAAGTTCGGTGAAGGCGATGATGGCAACCTCGTCGGGCATGGGGATGACGGCGTCCGAGATATTAGCGCTGAGGCCGTAGAGGGTGATTACGAGATCGAGGGCGAGGAGACCAACGGCCAAGCACTCCCAGGTTCTTATAGTGTGATTGATAGGCCGCATGAGCTTGATCATGGCGGTTTCGCATTGCTCTAAGGTGCAGATGCCGTACCACGCGTCCCGAAGCGCGCTGCGGAGGAGGGTTTCTGTCATCTTCTCGCACCGTGAATTCTCTAGAGAGAGTCTATGTTCCGGGAATTGTGGCCGAATGGCGAGTGCTTTGTTTTTGCTTCAGTCGCTTTTAGGCTTTGCTGAGATGTGTTTCAAATCTTCGCCTTTTTGCAGGCTGATGGGGCTGTGGGAACCTGAGGATCGTAGCCGATGAGCACAGGAATTGAGAGAGAGAGGGGAAATCAAACTCACACTCAGAGGCTGCAACTGGCCGTGGTTGCTGGGGTGAGTGTCGAGGGTGGAGCCGTACACATAAGTCCAAAGGTGCAGTATGTCCCCTTCACTTCAACTGAGCAAGGCGCCAGGGAGGTGCCCGTGTATGGTTCCAATATCGTGTGGATAATACGCGCTCTCAGGTTTTCACGTGATGCGTAGCTGAGGATGGCATCGGTAGTCCAGTAACATGGCGAAGCCTGAGCCTGGACAACATCTGGAATAAACAAAGGACGCGGACGCGTAGTTTTAGATGCATACCGGATTGAAATAGAGATAGGGGCTTCCCCCCTCAGTTGTTACCAAGGCCTTTGCTTCCTTGACGTTCTGAGTGGTTATCGGGTTGTCAAACCACATGCTTCCGTCTTCGAATGGTACAGGTAGAACGGCGACGACCGATCTTGCGAAATGTCAGGAAAGTGATGGTGTGGACAGCGAAGCTGCAGTCAGTCATCATAAAATTCGTCCGTAGGGGATCCGGGAAGCCGAGCTGCTGCGTGAAAGCAACAATGAGGTTCTGGATGAAAGACACGCCTTGAGCCTGTTAGAGTATTGGAATACCCATAGCGATGACGACGGTTCGACGGAGGTTAATTCCTCTGAAGCAGTCTTTGAACGAGCTCGCTTCATACAGTTCTCTTTGCTCCTCACTTGAGCTTTGAGAAGTTGCACTTCTTGTGGGATGGTTTATGGGCGGATTGAGAGTCTCTTGAGCACTCTCTCTGCCTCTCCGTATTTCCCGCGGTAGATGAGGTACCGATGAAGCCTTGGAAGGAACGGGAACATAGTTGCGTATCTAATGGGGACGAATAGCTGGCACATGATTACGATCCTGTTCAGTAGCATGTAAGCGGCTCCTTGTACCCATAGCTGCCCGGAATCCTTACAGATACTGCCATTGATCATTCCGACAGGGAAGTTGCAACTCGGCCGATGTTCTGCTCGTCTGTGCGGGGCAGAATCTCTCTACGGAGATCCCTCCGGCGTTTTGGACGGGATAAGCTTATTGCGACGATCTCGAGAGATGACAGGGGTAGCCAGCTTGCCTGTATCATCTTTTAAAAGGGGCAAAGAGTGGCCCTCGCTTCCTTCTTCGCAAAAGATCCTCCATGGGAGCCGAGTGACCAACGCACGATCATGCAGATACGAGCCGAGCAAAATTACGCAGCCGAGGAGCCAGGGTGGTATTCAGGGTTGGGGACGAAAAGATCTTGTTTCCAGCCCGCACGTCACGTTGTCAGTTACTCGATAAACTTGTGTCGGCATGAAGAGATTTGTAAATAGTATATGCTCATTGACTAATTAGAGCCACAATGAAGAATAATGTACTGTCGAAAAGGAAAACACGCTATGTTCAGAGAGCACCATCCACCACTGACAAACTTCACGCTTAGCAGATGTTGCGAGCGCCGTTGCCGGAAAGGTTCCACTTGATGTTCGTGCCGCAAGGAGACTCGCGGACGGTGGTGCCGTCGACCTTGGCGGTGATGCTGATGTCGCGGGTGATGGGGAACTCGGAGCGGGCAGAGAGACGGACCTCACCGCCGCCGTTGACGGTACCGCCCTTGATGGTGACGCCGTAGCAGTTCTCAATGAGGATGGCGTTGTTGCCGTTGTTCGCGAGATCGATGCTGCCAATCTCGGCGCCGCCAGACTGAGAGACGCAGAAGATGCCACGACCACCGCCGCGGGAGACGACCTTTGTGACGTAGACGTTCGTGGTGTAGGCGCCGCTGGCAAGCTGGCCATTGTTGTTGGCGAAGCGGAGGGTTCCGTAACCGGTGCCGGCACCAACATTGTTGCCATCGACGAGACCGACCTTTGCGTTAGTCGTCTTTTGGAGCAGCAGTCCCGACTCGCCGCAATTCTTGGCAATGACTTGGTCAATGGTCAGGCCGTCAATGTTCCAGGTCTCGACGGCGTGGCTGCCGGCGCCGTTGACAGTGATGACTCCCATCTTGACGTTGGTGTTGGCGGCTTGGTCGCGGTCGAAGCGGATGCCGATGCCGCCGCTGAGGTTCATGTTGATAGCGCCGAGGGTGAGGTCCTTCGTACCGTAGAAGCGGAGACCAAAGTACGGGTTTCCGGTCATGGAGAGGTAGGGGATCTTAACGCCCGAGGCGTTGGTGACCTCGATGGCGCCGCGGCCGGATCGGAGGGCGACATTGATGGTTCCGCAGCCCTCGAAGGTCTTCCCGCTCTGAATGGCGATGGTGTTGGCACCAATGGAGCCGGAGGCGATGACGGAGACGCGTTGGCCGCTGCTGATGGAGTCGACGGCGGCCTGGATGGCAGCACGGTAGTCGGAGCCGGAGTAGACCTGGCTGGAGCCCTTGGTGGCCACGAAAGAACTTCCAGATCCAGTGACCTTTGCGTCGGGCGTGCCGGAACCGCACTGGGCGGCAGCCGAGGAGGCGAGCGCCAGCACTGCCGTGAGGAAGGATGACTTGACCATGATTGCGGGCTAGATACACGGGTATCAATAGAGAGGAAGAAGAAGTAGAGTGTAAGGTACCTCAAGGCCCTCTTCTTTAGAGAACTTCGGCACGGCGACACGTTTATATCTGATGGCCCCCAACGACTCAACCAGGTGGATACTGCGATGCTCCAGATGCGCGCCACTCCGGTAGATACTCATATGGGGCAAGCACGTTCGTTGGAGGACGAAATTGGCCCGGCCCCTAGACCGGGAATGCATCCTCCGCATTCATTTACCACGAGCTTGGAGGCGGCTCGGCATGGCTACGGAGTGGCTACGGTTGAGCCGGGGGTGAGCGCCGGTTGGACAGAAATTGGGAAATAGGGTCGCCAGTTCGGTTAAGAGCTACACGAATGGCACCCTAAAGAAGCAAAATGGAAGAGCGAATGGCTTGCTCTGAGAAAACAGACCTTCCCGATTCATGCTTTTGAAACTTCCGTCCCTTGGCTCACACGTTGGACCTTGGCACGACGCTGTCTTCGCTTGGCGTCACCTGTGAGATGATCGACAGAGCTGCTCTAAGAACCTCTTAAGACCACAATTGATGGAAGTTGAATGGGAGGAGTTAATATTCCGCTTGAGCTAATCACAACGTTATTGCTGATTGACTGGCTTTCAGTATTTTGGTATTAATCTCCAGTTCGTAATTTTATATGCTCAGAGTATTCACTTGGCGACGCCTAAAGTCAAGTCTTGATGCATAGCACTATATTCAACGAAATGTCAAGCCTTGGCAGTACAGCGTACATGCTGGCGCAAGGGGGAGCGTCTCATATTGACAATCCTTTTTACTTCGGGCCACAGCCGCTTCCTGGTGTGAGC